ATTAACTTATTTTTTTATTACAGATTCATAGAATATGAAAACTAGAGGACTACTAACCTACATATGCATTTTAAAAACCAGGAAACAGGTACCAGAGATAACTCGTCAGGAATACCTAAAATTCAGTTCTCCTTTTTCTTTACATCAATAAATTAGAGTAGATTTCATAGTTACTGTCAGATGAGATAAATATGCAATACATAATATCATTAGGTTTTGACTTGTGTTCTTTCATGTACAGTCTCATAGCTTTTAATACCATCCCTTAGTTCAATACTACCAAGTTAATACCATTCCTTGATTTAATACTGCCATCTCTAGCTCAGATGGCTTCTACCAACTCCATACTTGTATTTGCAACTACCTACTTCATGTCCCATGAGGATTCTAATAGGCAACCCCACAATGACCACTTGACCTCCTGCATATTCCCCAGCAGAATTAGCTCTGCTTCACTCAAAGTCTTCCCTACCTCAGTTGACTGCAATTTCATCATTCTAGTTTTGCTTGTTTGTGTGTGTGTGTTTTTTCTTTTGTTTTTGTTTTTCTTTATGAGACAGAGCCTCAAGCTGTCCCCCTGGGTAGAGTGCCGTGGCATCACAGCTCACAGGAACCTCAAACTCCTAGGCTCAAGCGAGTCTCTTGCCTTAGCCTCCCAAGTAGCTGGGACCACAGGAGCCAGCCACAACGCCTGGCTATTTTGGGGTTGCAGCTGTCATTGTTTTTTTTTTGGCGGGCCCGGGCTGGATTCGAACCCGCCATTTTGGGTGTATGTGGCTGGCGCCTTAGCCACTTGAGTAGGGTGACCAGACGTCCCGCTTTTTAACAATTAGTCCCGTGTCCCACGGTGTTTTAAAAAAGTCCCGATTTTTGGAAAGAATGCACGAACGGGATGGAGAACAGGAAGAGAATATACGGTTTTCAGCTGCCATGTGGCTATTTCACCAGGATGAGTTTTATATTATTTTTGTTAATTTTATGTTAAACTGTAATAATAACAAATAATTGTTTTGTTTTGTTTTTGTTTGTTTTTTGTTTTTTATTTTGTTTTGCAGTTTTTGACTGGGGCTGGGCTTGAACCCACCACCTCTGACATATGGGGCTGGTGCTCTAGCCCTTTGAGCCACAGGCACCACCTAGTAACAAATAATTGTTGAGGCTCGGCACCTGTGGTTCAAGTGGCTAAGGCGCCAGCCACATACACTTAATGTGGCGGGTTCGAATCCAGCCCGGCCCGCCAAACAACAATGATGGCTGCAACCAAAAAAAATAGCCAGGCATTGTGGTGGGCACCTTGTAGTCCCAGCTACTTGGGAGGCTGAGGCAGGAGACTCTCTTGAGCCCAGGAGTTGGAGGTTGCTGTGAGCTGTGATGTCACAGCACTCTACCCAGGGGGACAGCTTGAGGCTCTGTCTCAAAACAAAACAAACAATTGTTGAGAAGTGTTTATCGAGAACTGCTTATTGAAGTTTGCATTGTTGTCAGGTCCTGCCCTGCCCCCTGCCCCTCCTCATGTTGTCCTGCTTTACCAAAGTTAAAATCTGGTCACCCTACACTTGAGCCACAGGTGCTGAGCCTGTGTGTTTGTTTTTTGAGACAGAATCTCACTCTGTCACTTTGGGTAGAGTGCATGGCATCCTCAAAGCTCATAGCAACCTCAAACTCTTGGGCTCGAGAGATCCTTTTGCCTCACCCTTCTGAGTAACTGGGACTACAGGTACATGCCACTATACCCGTCTAGTTTTTTCTATCCTTCTAACTGTTCTGGCTGAAATTTTGGAGTTATCCTTTATGTTATCTCTCATACACATTGTATTCAATCTATCAGTAAATCCTGTTGGCTGTACTAATATATATCCTGAGCCCCAAACACCTCTCCCACTTGGTTCAAGAGGGTAATATGTCCAGATTGGGTTGCCGAAATAGCCTCTTAAGGGGTTATACTTAGCTTTTATCCTGTTCCTCACAGTCTATTCTCAACACAGCAACCAGAGTGACTTTTTTTTGAGACAGAGTCTCACTATGTCACCTTTGGTAGAGTGCTGTGTCATCACAGCTCACAGCAACCTCCAGCTCTTGGGCTTAGGCGATTTTTTTGAGACAAAGCCTCAAGCTATTGCCCTGGGTAGAGTGCTATGGCATCATAGCTCATACCAACCTCCAACTCCTGGGCTTAAGCGATTCTCTTGCCTCAGCCTCTAGAGTAGCTGGGACTATAGGCGCCTGCCACAATGCCTGGCTATTTCTTTTTGGTTGTAGTTGTCATTGTTTAGCAGGCCTGGGCTGGATTTGAACCCACCAGCTCTGCTGTATGTGGCTGGTGCCTTAACTGCTTGAGCCACGAGTGCCGAGCTGGGCTTAGGTGATTTTCTTGCTTCATTCTCCCAAGTAGCTGGGATTATAGGCACCTGCCACAACGTCCAGCTATCATTTTGTTGCAGTTTGGTGGGGGCCAGGTTCAAACCCGCCACCCTTGGTATATGGGATCGGTGCCCTACTCATTGAGCCAGAGGTGCCGCCTGGCTATGATTGTTTTTTATGTCCATTCCTTATGTTTATTTATAGCTAGAAAGTAAGCTCTCCCAAAACAAGAATCTGCTTATTGATGTATTCCAAATGTCTAGTACAATGCCTAAATACTTGTTTAATGAATGAATGAGAAATGTGAATAATATCTACTCTAAAAAACTACTGTAGAGATTCTCCAAAACAAGAATCTGCTTATTGATGTATTCCAAATGTCTAGTACAATGCCTAAATACTTGTTTAATGAGTGAATGATAAATGTGAATAATATCTACTCTAAAAAGCTACTGCAGAGATTAAATAACAGGCAAAGGTCCTAACACACAATGGACACCCAATCAATGTTAGATTCCTAAATCCCTCCTCCCCCTTCCAAATTGTTCACCAATTGCCTGCTCTCACAGTACTGTCTCCTCCCTCTTCTCCTGAATTTTTCACCATTCTAATCTCTCCTTTGAGTTTAAGTCTAGGAAAATCCTACCAAAGGCTAACGATGTCATCTTAAAATAAAAGCCTAGGAGACCAACTTTACCCATTATCATAACTGTTCATCAAAATACCAAATTGTCATCCAGAGAAACAAAAAGCCCTGGTGGCCAGGTAAATGTTTTTGTTATTGGAGTTGGAGGTTTATTCCACTGGTTTTTTTTTCTTGAGACAGTCTCACTGTGTCACCCTCAGTAGAGTGCTGTGGCATCACAGCTCACAGCAACCTCCAACTCTTGGGCTTAAGCAATTCTCTTGCCTCAGCCTCCCAAGTAGCTAGGACTACAGGCACCTGTCACAACCCCTAACTATTTTTTTTGTTGCAGTTGTCGTTGTTTTGTAGGCCTAGGCCGGGTTGGAACTCACTGGCCTTGGTATATGTGGCCGGTACCCTACCCACTGAGCTACAGGCACCATCTATTCCACTGATTATTTATTTATTTATTTATTGTTGCAGTTTGGCTAGGGCTGGTTTGAACTCACCACCCTCGGTATCTGGGACCAGCGCCCTACCCCCTGAGCCACAGGTGCCACCCTATTCCACTGATTTTTAAAATCATCTTTATTGAAGTATAATTTGTGTGCAATACAGTTTATGTGTGCTGTTTGATGAGTCTTGACAAATGTATAGGTAATTGTATTGGCATTAAGGTCATTTGGGTTTATGCAGGTCCAGGGATCCTGTTTAGGAAAGGGGACATCAGGGCTCTTGGAAACATAATCAAATGGGAATAAGTGGAGACAGCAAAGGCCGGACTAATAATTGGTCTCGGGGTCTCACTGCACAGGGTCTGGACCTCTAGAATGCCTGGCTCTTTAGGGCACCTCCTGGCCCTCCAGAGGGAAAGAGCCAGCTCCCTTTTTCGCCACCCTCATGTTTGTTTAGGCCAGTAGGTGAGACCTGGATCTGAGTTTTGGCTCTCCTCTGCCCTGCAATTCTCCTACCAACACTCATGCCCTCCATTTCCGCCCAACTCTGGGAGGGGGGGCTCTCCAGCCTGCGACCACCAAGCTTCACCACTGCCACCACTATCACAGGGCCCCATAGCCTCTCCAACCATAGTTAGGAACAGGCTTCAGATCGTTGCAACTCCGCAGTCAGGGAAAAACAAAAGAGCTGAGTCGGGTCCCCCATTCGGGTCTGCGGTTCTCAGGTCCCTTGGGTCCCTAGGGCTCACTGCCTCTGAAGGTACAAACCTTTGAGCCCGCCTACCAACCAGGTCTTTTCTTCCGCCCCTCTGCGGCTGAAACCCTCAAGGGGCTGGTTGCAGGTTCACCTTTCGCTTAGAGATGGCAGCTCTGAATTCGAGGTAGCTGGGGAAACTGAGGCAGGATTGGGGATTCTGCATGTAAGGTCAGACGCTGGCCGCAGACTCCTTCTACTCACACCTGGAATAGCCCTTCCGAAAGCCCAATGCAATCAATACCAATCCAAGAAGAAACTGCTGGGGCCCTGGTAAATGCCCGGGAGAGTGAAGCACCGCCCACGCGGCTGGGACATCTCAGGGGTGGGGCCGGGGGCGGGTTCCGGGAGGAGGGCGGGCAGACCTGGGCTACCCGGTGTGCCAGCCCATCCCTGCACAGTGTTGGTGGCGGTGGTGGCTCTTGCCTGTGTCTCCCATTCTGGTTGCACTCGAACTTACCGCCATGGAGGAAATCCAGGAACCTCTGAGCGGTAAGCTCCGACTGTGCTTCTCTCCTGCTGCCCGGACCAGCCTCTTACTGCTCAGGCTCAACGATGCGACTCTGCGGGCTCTGCAAGAGTGTCAGCGGCAACAGGTGCGGCCGGCAACCTTCTTCCCTAGGCCCTACACTCGGGACGTTAAGCCTCAGCCAGCGACCCTGGAGAAGGGACCTGGGGAAAGAGAGAGCGGCATCTGCGGGCTCGGGTTTCCCCACCTCTCCAGGTGAAGCCCGCGAGGCAGATGCCCCAGGGCTCCTAACACCAGATCCTGGGGACTCCGCTTCACCTGCGCTCAGCTCAGGTCGGTCTGTGCTCTCCCTGCAGGTACACCCAGTGATCGCTTTCCAAGGCCACCGAGGGGTAAGTGCAGGCCCAGGCTGTGTGAGCGAGGCGGGGTGAGAAGCACAAACGTGGGCTCCGGGAAGGCGCGGCAAGAGCTGGAGCCTGTCCCTGGTCACAGTCTGAGGAAGTTCTGAGAACTGAACCCCAAGTGGGAAGAGGGGGCTGTTGGGGTTGTGCTCCCAAGAGGCTGTGGTTGAGGGGACTGTGCCATTCCGGCCTCCTGGGGAACTCAGGCCCTGCTGCACCTGGTGTGCTAACGAGCCCCTGGGGATCTATCTTCAGTCTTAGGCTGTCTGGGGAGGAGGGGCGTTGGCAGGAGGGGGAGGGGCTGACTTCACAGGGCTTATGGCCTCTTTCCCCCCCAGTATCTGAGGCTCCCAGGCCCGGGCTCGTCCTGCCTCTTCTCCTTCATACTGTCCCAGTGTGGGCAGGAGGGCGCTGGTGGTAGCTTGGATCTTGTGTGCCAGCGTTTAAGCAGGTGAGGGAAAACAGGTAGTAGGTAAGAAAGGGTTTGTGGGAAGGGGGGAGGGGAATGTGGAGAGGTTTTTTAAAAGCTCTTTACCCTCCTGTTTTTTTCTACCACTTCTTTCCAGGTCTGGGCCTAACCGCCTCCACTGCCTGGGTCCACTCAGGGAGCGCCTCACTGTTTGGGCAGCCATGGATTCTATCCCAGCCCCATCATCAGCTCAGGGACACAACCTTACTGAAGATGCCAGACAGCCTGAGAGTTGGCAGAACACAAGAGACTATTCTGAAAGAGAAGCAGTATCACAGTCACAGATGGCAGTAGAAGAGGTGAGGTCAGAAACTGCAGGGAATTTTGATAAGGAAAGCCTTAATTCCAGGGAGGTGAGTGCTCCTGCCCCTTTCCCTACCAGGTGTCAGATCCACTGGCAAACAACCAAGGACAGTCACTCCCAGGATCCTCAAGGGAGCACATGGCACAGTGGGAAGCAAGGTACTTGGAACAGGGTGGGACTAACATAGGAAGCCCAGGTGTTGTCTTCCTTGCTAATCCACTCTTAAATAGTATAATAGATGATGTAGACCAGCGGTTCTCAACCTGTGGGTCGCGACCCCTTTGGACTGTATTAAAGGTTCTCGGCATTAGGAAGTTTGAGAACCACTTATCTAGACCCACCTCCTACCCTGGTCTTCATCCCTTAAAATATTCTAGGAACCAGACCCATCTTCCAAACAGAGAGCCCGAGCAGGCACTGCCTTCCTCTGCCACCCGGAAACGCCTAGACAAGGTAAGAGAGAGTACATTAAATCAAGCTAAAATTTAAAAATTGAGAGCACTCAGCCTGGGCAACATAACAAGACCCTGTCCCTGCAAAAAAATTAAAAAATTATCAGGGCATGGTGGTACATACCTGTAGTCTAGGCTGCTACTTGGGAGGCTGAGGCAGGAGGATGCCTTGAGCCTAGGAGTTTGGAGTTATGGTGAGCAATAATGAAGTCACTGCACTCCAGCCTGGGTGACAGCATGAGATTTTTATCTCAAAAAAATAAAATTAAATAAAAATTGGGAGCTTGTTATATGGGAGGAATTTTTGAGAGAAGGGCAGAATAGAAAGCTCCCAGCTATTTATGTCACATGGATATTTTCCTCAAATAGAAACGTCCGGCTCCTATAGCTACCATAGAACTAGACGAAAAGAGGTTCAGAGACCTGCCTCTAGCTCCAAGTCCCCTACACGGGCTACCCAATCAGGATTTACAAGAAGGAGAAGACTGGGAGCAAGAAGATAAAGATGAAGACGTGGACCCAAGGCTGGAGCACAGTGCCTCAGTTCAAGCAGGTGACTTAATGGGAAGAGGGTAAAAATGCCAGTGAAAACAATACCTATCATCACTTTTTTTTTTGCTTCCTTCCTAGACTCTGAATCCCTAATCCCTGAAGAGGTGCCAGATTATCTCCTGTGAGTTCCATGCCATTTCCAATGTCATTATGTCTTGTATATATAGTAAGGTCAACTTCTAGAAGCTGGGAGCTTTTGGTGACAATGAAATTAAAGGTAACAACTCTGTGCTCCTGGCAGGCAATACAAGGCCATCCATAATGCAGAGCAACAACACGCCTATGAGCGGGACTTTGAGACAGATTATGCTGAATACCGGATCCTACACGCCCGTGTTGGGGCTGCAAGCCAAAGATTCGTAGAACTGGGAACAGAGATCAAGAGAGTTCAGCGAGGAACTCCAGAACACAAGGTAAGGCACTGGACCCAGGCTTGCTTTCCAGCTTACTGGCCATTAACCCCCTGCTAACTGCCCATAAACCTATTTGTTCAGTGGCTAAGCAAAGTGAGAAGCAAACCTGTTTTTACAGAAAAATTCACCTGTATTATTTGGTATAATGAAAAGGGAAGTTATTTCCCTCTCTTATTTCTTAATGTTGAACTCAGTGCTAGCATTTTCTGTTTCAGGTGCTGGAAGAAAAGATAGTCCAGGAATATAAAAAGTTCAGGAAGGTAAGACAAGGTCTGGGAATAGAAACACAAAGGTAGAAATGAGGGTTTTTACTTTTTGACATGTATGCTCTTTTTCTCTACAGCGATACCCAGGTTACAGGGAAGAAAAACGTCGCTGTGAGTACCTGCATCAGAAATTATCCCACATTAAAGGTCTCATCCTGGAGTTTGAGGAAAAGAACAGGGGCAGCTGAAGCTGAGAGGGTTTTGACCCTATAGTCAGTAATATAGGAACCTAGTAGCTAGAAACCAAATAGAGTACAATATCTGCTTTCCCTGTGCTGACCACTACAGTTCATGGTGGCAAGTAGAGAGATGCTCTAGGTTCTTTAGGCTTGGTTTTCATTATTGCCATATTTTAATTTTTAGGGTATAGTTGTGTGCCAGGACTACCCAGCTGTGCCTGAGTCTAGGAACAGTAGCAGAGGCTTGGCTTCTTCACCTTTAGTTCAGCCAAGTCGCTTTCAAATCCCGAAAAATGACATCATTTCTAGGACATGATAACTTGAGGACATTAGGCAAACTAATTTAGCCTGGTAGCTTCCCTAAACAATGAGAACTTTTGGCAACAGAGTTAAAGGAACTATAGCATACTTGGATATAATGGGAAGGGGCTTGGGTGCTATGAATGTACTAAAAGTCAATTCTTTCACAAATGTGGCTAAAAAATTAAAAACTGACTGCTTCTGTGTCCTTTGTGTAAGTTATATGTCTTCCTTGAAATCCTCTAAGGCAGTAAGTCTTACCCTGGCTGTACACCTGAACTACTTCTGGAGCTCTCTAAAAAAGGAGATACTCAGGCCTTAGCCCAGGTGTTAGAATTTCCAAGATTTGGCTTATTAAGAAGAAAAAAGAAAAAAAGATTTTGGTTTAGACATCTTTGCCCCTGGCCACTTCCCAACACACATCGGGTTTTTATTGTTCTCTGGGCTAGAGTGCAGTAGCATTATCACCATAGACAACTGTAAACTCAAGCTCCTGGGCTCAAGCAATGCACCTGGCTTTGCCTCCCAAAGTGCTAGGATTAAAAACATTAGCCACTATAACTGGCTAACATCTTTACTTTTTCTTTTCTTTTTGAGAGTGCCCGTGCCTTGGTGTCATAGCTCACGGCCTCTAACTCTAGCAAGCTGTTCTCTTGCCTCAGCCTCCTGAGTAGCTGGACTACAGGTGCCTGCCACAATGCTGGGCTATTTTTTTTTAAAACATCTTTACTTTTTAAAAGCCTTGTGTATAACACTGATGTATATTTTGCTGTAAGGCTCTATCAATTCCATCTTATGATTGACAATTAAAGATTATAGGGTGGCACCTGTGGCTCAGTGGGTAGTGCACTGGCCTCATATACTGAGGGTGGCAGATTTGAACCCAGCCCTGGCCAAACTGCAACAAAAAATAGCTGGGTGTCGTGGTGGGTATCTGTAGTCCCAGCTACTCAGGAGGCTGAGGCAAGAGAATTGCCTAAGCCCAGAATCGCTGGGCTAAGCTGATCCTAAGAGAATCGCTGGAGGTTGCTGTGAGCTGTGATGCCACAGCACTTTACTGAGGGCAACAAAGTGAGATTCTGTCTCTAAAAAAAAAAAAAAAGAAAGAAAAAAAGACAATTAGAGATTATAGGAGGAAGAAAGTTCTCCTTGGCTCGGCGCCTATAGCTCAACCGGCTGGGGGGCCAGCCACGTACACCTAGGGTGGCGGGTTTGAGTCCCCAGCCCGGACCCGCCA